ACATGTCTACTCATTGGCTTGATAAGAAAGTCCTCCCAGCATAGTGATCAATTTTACAAGTTCCTAACGAGAAATCCAAAAGATAAATCTAAAGACTAGAGAAGGGAAACTAAACAGTAGTCGGACAAATAAGCAAATCAAAATGATGCCAACGAGTGGCACGAAATCAAATTGAAATTGAAACTAGACAAAGTGAATTGGCAGGGAGCCACAGTTGCCATTGTGCCAATCGTGGGGTCCTATAGAGGGTGGGGATCGGGATCCGATGTGTTATACAATATTATCATGCTTATATAATTTGCCAGCACACACACACACACGCACAGAGAGAGATATAGAGACAAACACATGCGAAACTGCGATAAAGCTCGAGTAACAAAGTTGAATGGCTGTCTACATCGCAGGACGAATTTCGGGGAAAGGGAATTCCGGCGTATCAAAAGTTATTGTGCTTGTGTCTCTGTGAGTTCGACTGGAGCCAAGGATTATCAAAGTATTAGAGGAGCAGCGCTGCAGACTCAGTTTTAGTCTCAACTTCTGGGCCAGCTTCATCTTGAGCTTTGACTGCTCCTAAGTTTTCGCACTTTATGGGACATCGTTGTCGTTGTCCCGCTTGCCAAATGCCTCGGGGGCTCATGTGGCAGGCTTGACTCGTCATAAAGACCCCCACCAAAACACTGAGAAAAGTATTTTGAAAATAACACAGCTTGATAGTGTTTTTGGTGCAGGCCTATGGGCATAAAATTATGTTAGTATAGACGTATATAAAATTATCTGAATATTTAGTTTTTGATACTTGTAAAGTCGCAGCTTAAATGAATGAAAATATCTTTGAGAGTTTGTACTCCATTTTATTGATATACATGCTAATAAATTGCTTAGATACCCTTCTACAGATTTTTATTTAAGGTCTCAACATATATTAAGTCGGTCACAACTTATGGCCATTTGAGTAATCTGTTCACCTCTACTCACAAAAAATGTTATGTAATGAACAGGCTTTAAAAACTACAAGGAAAAGTATGAGCCCCAATATATTCTACATGCATTTAAAGAAGTTTTTTCCCAAATTCTTAAGATACTAACCACTATTGTACGTCGAAAGATGAAATTTATAGAATTTTTTTCTAAAATCCCAAAAGGCAATAATCAAATTGACTTAAAATACAAAGGTTAGTTTATCAAGTTAGCAGAACCAAATATTGTTCTAGTATTATCCTGGCTCAAGTCGTACCTATGCTCAATATTATTTTAAACATTCTATTTTTTAATACCTAAAACAAATAACTCTTAATTTTATGGGATACATAAAAAATGTAAATAAATTTTTATTGTCAAAATTATAGTTTAACAATGTAAAGATATGTTTAAGAGATGAAATTCAAAGATTTTTACCTAATAATCTCTAACAAATACAGCTTTTCTCTAAGTGCAACCAGCACAGTGAGGGGAAATCGCAGAAAACGGAAGCTGGGCCAACGCACATGCATAAGTGAAAGACAAAAGACGCCAAAAGACAAAGGCAGTGGGCTAACAAGAAAAAACATGAGATAGGGAAAGGCAATGGAAACTCACAGGGCGGGGGACCCAGTTAAAGGACCAGGAATAGCAACTTGCTGCGACATGTAAGAATTATTATCTGCTCTTGCACTCTCAAGTGGCCCCCAAAGAAATGGGGAGGGGGACAATGAATAATGTCCTTGGCGCGCAATGCGGAAATGCAGGCTGCTAGGACCAAAAGGATCCAGCAGTAGGTAAATAAAATGGAGCCATAAAGGAAAATATGCTTTCGCGTACGTTTCAATCGGCATAAAATTTTATAACCATCGTTTTATTTTCACTCAGCAAGCAACCAAAAGCCACACAGGAAATGTATAAACAGGCAGAATAAACTAACAACTTTTTTTTTTTAGCTCTAGCATTAGATATTTCACATATTTGCCAACGAAAAAATTCCATAAATGTCTATAAACGCATTGAGTTTCTGCTGTTTGCGGTTGGCGGGTGTTTTATTTTTACAATTCTCTACTAATTTGAAAATTGTTTGCTGCTTCAAATATGTTTTGCGCCCTTTGCCGTTTCTGGCACTTATTTGGCCTTTGGCCAAATTACTCGGTACTGGCTAACGGGGCGTATGCGTAATGCGCTGCTTTGCCAACTTCTCTTTGAAGTGGCCCACGTGAGCATGGCCAACAATGTGCCAACGGGCATTTTTGCAATATTTGCGAATTGGCTGCTCACATGGCGGAGTTTTGTTTTGCTGTTCCAGTGTTTTCGTTATTTAATGGTGGCCAATTAAAATATAATCAGTTGGCTAATTGAATTGCGTATTATGTGGGTCAGTTAGTGTTTTTCGTGGTTGGAGAAAATTAGAAATGGAGCAAAACATTTTAGGAGATTGCGTAGATTGGAATATTTAAATTGCGTTTGAATTGCAGCTATTTGCTTTGGACAATGGCAATTATTTAGGAGAAGTGATTGTTTTATAATGCCCTAAATTAAATCATATAACCAATATAAATAAGATTAATTTAATTTCAGATAAACAGTAATTAATTTTATAAATGTTATATTAATGTTTTCGTTTTGTAAAGTAAAGGTAATATTTTTATAGGTTTTTCCTAAACAAATAAAAGGTTTGGATATTAAAGGGGTTTTTAAATTGCTTTGATCTGAACCCTTCCACCCCTCGAAATAAAATCAAAACCACATTATTGCCTCTACGCCAAGCCAAAAACATTCCCGAGTCATTTGTATGTATTCCTTTGTATCCGCAATGCAAATGAAGTTGTTCTATCTTTGTTTTTATTATTTTTGCAATTAAATTTCATTTGTGGAAAGCACCCACATACACACAAATGGGATTGCCGGAGGGCAAAAACAGCAAGGAGCAATTGCTGTGAAAGAAGTTGCCAAAAAAAAACAGTCAGAGGGTGAAAATGTCTATCAGGGAAAGCGGTGGGGAAAAACAACAAATAATAACGGCGTTGATTTCATTTCTCATCTGGACCTCCGCCCTTCTGGCCCTTTATTTTGTCAACCCCCTTCCATTGGCCGTCACTTTTTCGTGCTATTTCCTCTTTTTTGCCCGCTTTGTTTGTCTACTTGTTAGCAGCCGCCTTGGCATTAACACGTTAAAAATTCGCCGTCCGCATTTCCGCTTTTCCGACGCTCTCTCTCTCTCCTTTTCACTATTTCCGCTTCCTTTTAAGTGAGCCATAAAAAACAAAAATCAACGAGCTTTCTGTCGCCCAACGCCTCGTTACTTGTTTGGTCATGTTTACGGAAATCATTAACATTTTCCTCCAGCTACCAGAGCAGCTCTAATGAATTGGAAGGGAAACCCCCAAGAAAATGACTGAGTAAAAAAGCAGCACAAATATACTGCTGCATGAAAGTAATTTACAAATTGAAGAATCAAGCTGGGAAAAACAAAGAGAAAACATTTTCAAGGATAGATTTCATTTTCATTTTATGTAATGAAAACCCCTGAGAGGAATAAAAGTTGCATTTGTATTATTATTCCTACAAGTCCTGGTTAAAGCTTAAATTTTATACAAATTGAGATGAGTTTAGCTTTAAATTTAATACGAAAAAATATATAAATGAAATAACTCACTGCTAAAAAGCAAATTTCACTAAAACCATAAGTGAGAACTTTAAACTAAACTCGTTCCAGTGATTTATTAAGCTTACTTTGAAAGTGGGTAATTGCCGCACTTTTCCAATACGTTCGCCCCACTTTCCAGCTTCACTCGCACTGTGATGGCCTTACTTTCAAGCCCCATAACGCGACCCCAATGGGGCTTTTCCCTCCGGCCACTCTCGGCACAGCTCAACTTAACTTTTCACTTTCAATTTGCCCGGCTCTGCGGCCCATAAAGCGGGGCATTTATGGCCAACACGCGTGGCCAACACACTGAAAGCCGCACAACCCACCGAAAAAAGGAACTTTCATAATTCATAAGCTGCAGGAATAAACTGCCGACTGAGAAAATCTACTAAGCACACGGCAGCACTTGGATTTACACTTTATACGGGGGCCAAATTGGGTATGGGATCCGTGCGAAGGCCACAAATCATGCCTTAACAACTTAATAAGTTGGGTAACGCTCGTCCAGTGAACCGAAATTTGAATATTGGCCCAGAGACGGGACATGTGTCTAACATTCTGATTTCCCCAGCCAAATTTTCCACGTCTCCCACCACGTGACGTGCACATTTTCCTGCTTCATCATCAGAAGCAAAAAAGGAAAAAGTGAAAAAAAAAATTGAGGAGAAAGATGAGACCACTCCACGATACTTTTTATTTGCGCTGGCTTTTTATGACATTTCAAGGGAAAATTTATATAATAATCATAAAAGCGGGAGAGCATGACCGCTGCGGAAATGCTGCGATTTATTTGTATTTGCAGAGTCTTTTCCGCTCACTATGTTTGTGTTTTATTTGCAGCCAATTGATTTGACTGGCGGCAGGCAACTGGTAACAGCGATGATGGGTATGATTTTCCTTCTTTTTTTCATCCTGTGCCTGGTGGGGCTTGTTTTTGGCGATGGTGAACATAAAAGTGTAACATCATATGGCCGGAGCACTCGTCTCTTGGTGCACGAAGCCGTCATTGTTGCCACTGCGGCTCACTTTATGTGGCATGAATGCTTTTATGACCGCCCACACATCGCTCGGGGAAAGTCGGAAAAATCGCTGGAGAAATTGGGGAGAGGGGGGAAAAGCTTGCGAGGCAGTTTGGCCGTTTCACTGGGCATCAAATCAGGAAATTGTTGCAATTAAAGTGTAAATAATGATGCAGCTAACAATGAATTACGAGAAGCTGGGAAAAGGGATATATGGGAATAATGTATTTCACTCCCTTAGGCCTTACGGCATCAAAGTTTTTGTTCCAACAATACAATAGCCTTTTTAAAATATCTCCAAAAATCACATTTAACCAAAAATGATCATTTTATATTAACAAAGTGGGCCTTGATAGAAAATTCCTTAGTAACGTTAGCCCTTTCCTATGAACTATTCAGTTTACCCCCAAAACTCTACAAAGAAACATCTAACTTTCAATTTTTACTTTACTTTTACCAAAAACTATCAGAATGTTGTGAGTATAAGAAAAACCAAGTTTTCCTTAACAATTTATTTTTAAAACAAAATTCTCTCAGTGAATCGTTTGATTGGAACTCGAGATTGGATCTCAAGAATTTTCGTGATATAAAACAACGTGTAGTGAAGAAAATCGGGGATCTGGAGCGCAAGGGAGTTGTATGGGGTCGTCTCATTTGCATCGATGATGCCAAGGATGATGCTTTTTTCCGTTTCATGAGGGAGAACGCCTAAGTCGGTTCACAAAATCTTAACAATGTGTATTGTGAGTTACTTTAAAGCCAAAACAAGACTTAACGACAAGAAAATACTCGTTCAATAAACAAAATGCATTATCATGCTTAAATAATTTCGGTAACGTATTTTTTATCACACTCGGATCTCAATCATTCGCTTAGCCTTTTATGATGCCGTTGCCTGGACAGCGATTCAACCGCAAAAATGGCCAAACTAAAAGAACGGCCTGAAAAAAATAGTACTTTGAAAATTTTCCACAGGTTCAGCCAAGCTGAAACATATGGGAGCACAGGAAAAACTGAAAAGTGAGATGGGTGGCGTAAAAAAGTTACTGAAAAATTGCTGAAAAATGACATTAATTTTAATGCATCGCAACAACCCGAACAAAATGAGAAATACAAAAAATGTCCCAGTTTCTCGCCACTCGTCTTTTATTTTTTAATTAAAAATTGTTTGTGGCGCGCATTTTGCATTTTTGAAAAGGCGGACAGTGGATGTGTTGCCGTGAATTTTTATTGTGGATTTCCCTTTATTGGAACGAGAAGAATCCTTTACCTTTCCCCGCCACCTCGCGTGTCACTTGAACTGTCAATTACATTTGCGAACCGCTCATCCTAGAGCTTCCCCACATCAAACTCATTTTCCTGTGCATGCATGCGAAATTTTCCTTCGATTCTCGTATTTTTGGTTTCATCTTTTTCGGATCGGGGTTTTTCCGTCCATATTGTACTTATGTATATATTCCTCAGTAGCGGCATTTGATTAACATTTAAATTTGCTTTCGGCGTATGTGCAACTGACAGTTTGGCTTGGGCTTCGATAGGTTTCCTTCACGTTTCCATCTGAGTTTCCCTGGGCTCGGGTGCAAAGTGTGTGCTTACGACACACAATAATCAATTGTTTTAGCCTCGCTTATCGAGTGGCAATAGAATCCTGGCTGCGCCCTGCTCTGGACATTCGATTCGGTCCGAGTCAAGTCTGGTTATTGATGATGGCTCTGGAAATCGGAATACACTCTGGCATTTATTTATATTACTCGCTGCGGCAAATTGTTTATTGTTTATTGAAATGAAATATTGCTCTCGGGTGCCTCGGCAATTTGCATGCGTTGATTGCTAAAATGAAGTGGGCTCTCGAAGGCAAATCAAAACGCTGTCGTCCGTTTGGCAATTGAAATGATTTAAATTGTTCGAGGGAACAGCAAAAAGAGAACAAAATATTAGTCGAAATATTGCCAAACTTCATATGATAATTCATTGAACATGCAATTTATTTTTTTTATTTTTTGCTCTATTTAAATCACTTGTATTTTAGTATTTTTTGGAGGCCTCTAAATGTGAAAAGAGAATTTAAACAATAATATTGTGCCGAGTTAAATTGCCAATTAAATTGATCCTAGAAAGTGAAAACTTTCGTGCTAATCAAATTTTGCTTTTCCAAATAATTATAGAGCTTACACACAAAATGAATATTTTTATTGAGTATTTAAAAATTTATAAAAGAGTTGTTCCGAGCCTTTCGACACTTCAAATTTACCATGCACGAAATTTACATTTTTACTGATTTCATTTATTGAAATAATTGAACATCAGATAAGTTTTAAATGATAAGGATCTTCGATGATGTGTTAAATGAATATAAACATTTTTGATGGAATTTTTCATTTTAAATTAAATTATGTGGCTTAAAAAAATATATACTTTATAGATACTGCATTTTCATGTGTCTTTCAACTATAAATCCCTGCTCCTCTAAGAACTTTACTCGAAAACTGCAAAATCTGCGTCATGTGAGAGTGTGGACTGTATCCATGGTAAATCCTGGCCAGAATGGTGGCAGGACTTAAGTACGTGTTGATTATGGAGCGTGTTTGTTATTATTATTGTTGCAGCAACATCTTCTTCTTCTTTCCCGTTGTGGTTAATGGTAGTTGGGAAGTACAGGGGGTGGTAAAACTTCTACACCATTTACCATATCCCACGACTAGCAGCAAACGTAGTTTTTTATGCAAATATTTAAGAGCATCATCGAAGGCACGGCGAGTGCAAGATTCTTTCCACTCAACGGGGTGCAAGTGTGTGCGTGTGTGTGTGCGGTAATGCCCCCGTCTGTGTGCGAGTGTGAGTGTGTGGGTGATTGCGGACGGGGAATCCCCTCCTGCGTAAGCCATATGTAGATATATGTTTATGTCTGTGCACTACACTCGACGATAAAATCGTCATGTAGTCGTAATGTCTGCATCAAATTGCATTTGCCCAACGCCTCTGGCACGTCGCTAACTCTCAGTCCCGCCCACTTTTTCCCCAACGTCCCCATTTCCCAGTACACTCTTCCATTTTTCCCTAGAGCATGGGAAGTATGGAGGTTCCATATGTGTCGACATCGTCAACGCAATGTGTATTTATGCATAGTTTAATGCGGTTCAATGTCTGGTAACGACATCAAAACACAGCCAGGATGGAAAGGAGTCTGGGGGGCGAACTCTCTGCCCACTCCACTCACTGAAGTCATAATCATAATCAGGAATCATAGTCAGTCGGAGGAAAAAAAAGTAGAAGAAGCTGCGTCTGACTTGAATAGATATTTTTATTATTTTCAAATTGAATTCGCATATCGTTAGTACCGGCAAAGATCAAGGGAAATCGGGGAGCGTATTGAAAGTGCGCTTGAATGCACGTTAACCAAATCGGATTTGTTTAATATATGATCCGGAATTTGAATTTGATTGCAAAGTGCATTCTATGTGCATATCGATGGTTTGACAATGTTATGACAAGACTTAAGTGGGGGGATTAAATGGTCCTAAACGGTTGCGATAAGGGGGATTACTTGGAGATTTTAAAGGAGCAGCAAGGACAAGGGAAAGTATAAATGTTTGGGGAAGAATGGCAAATTCTTCTTTTATTTTAAATATTAATTCGTAAAATTTATTCATTCTTACAAAGAAAATAAATACGAATGAATATTCCCAAAACTTTTCCTGCAGATAAGACAAAAGAAATATGATCCCTTAAAATAGTTAAGTTCATCCTGGGCTCGACCTTGGCTTTTTTCCCCAGCACGAACGAGACGCCCCATTCGTGTCATTTGCTTGTCTAGAGGCATTTTATCATTCTGCTGATTTGAAGTACCAGCAGAGATGTATTTCACTCAGTGTCCTGTATCTTGTTGCCTGCGTATCCTCGTGTCCTTCGCCACTCGACGATTTGAAGATGCAAAAATGTCCATTTAACCGAGATTTATGGCAGCCAGCAGGGTTATTTATGGCAATTTGTTTTATTTACACGATATCTGCCAGTGGCCAGATGGAAAGCCACCTCCATTCCCTGGCACTAAGCACTAGCAAATAAATTTGCACAAATTATTATGGGTCATGGGGATTAAATGCAAACACACTACGGCAAAAAAAAAGCAAAAAACGAACAGGAGATGTGCCTATAGCCATGGTTAAATGGATAAAATTCGATGCAAAATTTTGTGGGGAAGGGGGATTTCGAGAAAAACGCGCCCGCGGGTCAGTTTATCGCATTTATTGGCGCTCTATATTTTATACATAAATTGCGAGCCACGTTGCGTTGTTGCAGGTGCAGCAGCTGCACACAAAAACAAACTGGCAAACACGCAAACAAACGGAAAAATGAAACCAAATGCAAATAGCTTAATACACATTTTTTGGCCAGGCCAGAACAAGCTTTTGCCTCTCTTATTTTATCCGCACCTATATACAAACATATATCTGCAAACATATAGATGGAAAACAGGGACCGCCGGCAGCATAATGAATGCCACATAAATCCGATGGCTCCGTGCACTAGATTTCATGGCTATGATTTTGTAATAAAAATGCATTTTTATTACGAAAATAAATTGCATTCCTTTCGCTGCCTTTTCTTTATTTATCTTTTTCTGTTTTTTTTTTGTATTCCTTTGTTTGGATAGTTGAAGTGGGTGAGATAAATCCCTCAAATCTTTATTTAAATTCCCACCAAAAATATTACTCAGCAAATGATGAAAGGAATGAATGGAGCACGGAAACTGCTGGCAAAACAGGCAAATATTAATTAGTTAATTAAGGTTCAATGGCCCAGAAATGTGGGAAACTGGGAATGATTGCTTATTTAGTTGAATACCCCAGGGTTAATGTCGCGTGTATATAATGGGAATTAATTTCGGGTGCTAGGCAACTATAAAGATGATCTGAAAAGGAAACTTTTCTATTAAGTTTTGGTAATTATAATTTAGTAAAAGAATTTTGAAAGGTAAAATTGCGATGATATTGTATTATTAAAGAAATTCCTTTCACATTATTTAGATTATTAAAACACTTAATGCTTTAGATCAAAAATTTCGTGTACAAAAATGACCCTTTTTTTACTCTTACACACTTTAACTGGCATTCTTCTCTTGCTACGAACCATTTAATTTGATTTAGTGTAAGCTCCAAAATATATTGCGTATACGCGATGTGAGCCGCTTAGCGTGCAAAACTGTTGCATGTTAAACGGGTTTTCGTGTCGTAAAGACCGCAAAAGCCAAGCAGCAACAAAAAGGACCAACAAATGGCAATGCAAATCCAAAATGGCGTCAACTACAAGAAGTGGAGCCAGCAACAACAATGTCAATCCCTTTTTAAAAACTTTTATTGTGCAGTCGGGTGTAAACAAAAATGCCCCAAAAAATAAATACAAATACAAGGACGAGACGGAGACACGCACACAGATACACGCATACATGCACAATATGGCAGCGTGGAAAACTAATATGCTTTAATGGCTTAGGACTTTCAGGACTTTGAATGGCTGCCCTCACAACGTTATCCTTTTCTTCAGCCTGTGGCCCTGGGCTTTTTGCGTAAACAAGTCAGAAGGATAAAAAGCCACGACAATCAACTGGGCACTGAGAAAAACAGGGCTTTGTTATGATATAAAAAAATAGTTTTCAATAAGATATATGAAGAAACTTAAGGAAATTTTTCTCAAAACTGAGCTTAATTTTGTGTTTGTTATACCCGTTACTCGTAGAGTAAAAGGGTATACTAGATTCGTCGGAAAGTATGTAACAGGCAGAAGGAAGCGTTTCCGACCCCATAAAGTATATATATTCTTGATCAGGA